TGTCTGAAGTCCGAGGTGTAGAGGATGAACAGGAATGTGGCCAGAACAGTCCCCTGCGGCGCTCCAGTGCTGCAGAGAAGCCTGTCCGACTCACAGCTCTGTACCCTCACGCAATGCGGCCGGTTTGTGAGGTAGTCTGTAATCCATGCTGTGAGGTGGGGGTCCACTCCGGCGTTCTGCAGTTTGTCTCCCAGTAAGTTGGGCTGGATGGTGTTGAAGGCACTGGAGAAATCAAAGAACATGATTCTCACAGTGCTCCCAGCCTTCTCCAGGTGTGACAGCACTGAGTGGAGGAGGTAGATAATGGCATCCTCCATGCCGATGCCAGCCTGATAGGCAAGATATTGCAGCGGTTCCAGTGCCGAGCTTACCAGCGGTCGAAGGTAGGCGAGGACGAGTCTCTCCAGCGTCTTCATCAGGTGAGACGTCAGCACCACCGGTCTGTAGCTGTTCAGCTCCTTAGGGTGGGGGCACTGGGACCAGGCACGAAGTTTTCCACACCTGTGGAGCTCTGCCCAGCTTCAGGCTCAGGTTGAACATGTGCTGGACAATGTCACATAGTTGGTCAGAGCAGGTCCTGAGGAGCCGGGAACTGATCTTGTCCGGACCTGCTACCTTCCTCACATTCATCTTCCTCAGTTGGTTCCTCACCTGCTCTGTTGTGACGGACAGGCAGGAACCAGGTGACAGACTGGGTTGTTGTGAGCTGGTCGAAAGAGGAGGGGGAGGAGAAGAAGTCCTCAGTGAAAGTGGGTGCAGCTGGTGGTTGGGGGAAGGGACAGACGTCATGTCGAAAGGGTTGAAAAAACGGTTCAGTTCATCTGCCCAGTCCTTGTCCTTCTCAGTCAATGTCTTTGGGCTGTTGTTGTGGCCTGAGATGGTTTTCAGGCCCCTCCAGACACCAGTGACATTGCTGGCCTGTAACTGGTCCTCCAATTTCCTCCTGTATGTCTTCTTCCCCTCTCTGATCTTTCTTCTCAGCCGGATCTGCACGGCCTTCAGCTCCTCTCTGTTTCTCGACATAAAAGCCTTCTTCTTCTCCTTCAGGAGGGCCTTTATGTCGGGATTAGTCCATGGTTTGTTGTTGGAAAAACACCGCACAGTTCTGGTGGGTACGGTGTTCTCCTCACAGAAGTTTATGTAGTCCGTGATGGTGTCAGTGAGTGCGTCAATATCCTCCTCATGAACCTCGCTGAAGAGTTCCCACCTGGTTGTGTCGAAGCAGTCCCGCAGAGCATCTTCAGCTTCCGTGGACCATTTCCTGACCATTCGGGTCACAGCTGGCTGCCTGTGCACCAGGGGTTTGTACACAGACTCGAAAAATACCAAGTTGTGGTCCGCTCTTCCAACAGTGGGGAGAGGGTGGGGTTTATATGCCTCCTTGGTGTTGGCATAAAACAAGTCCAAAATTGTATTGTCTCTAGTGGCACAGGTTACATACTGCGTGAAGGTTGAAAGGGAGGACAACAGAGAGACATGGTTGAAGTCCCCAGAGATGATCAGCAGGGCGTTGGGGGACTGTATTTGCAGCCTGTTCACGACAGTCATCAGGGCATCACACGCTGCATCGCCATTAGCCGACGGGGAGACGTACACTGTCACAGCTATGATGTGCGAGAATTCCCTCGGGAGATAATGGGGTCTGAGGCTAATGGCTAGCAGCTCAATGTCCCGGCTGCAGAGTTTCTCTTTGATCGTGATATGCCCCGGATTGCACCCATTTGTCGTTCACAAAAACAGCCAGTCCCCCACCTTTTCTCTTTCCACTCCCTTCATTCCTGTCCGCACGTATGAGTTGGAAGCCTTCCAACTCGGCATGTGTGTCCGGAGTGATCGCTGTTAGCCACGACTCCGAGAGTAGCATTAGGCTAGCCTCGCAGTACTCCCTTTGATGTTGCGTTAGCGCCGCTCACTCATCTATCTTGTTAGGGAGCGATCTTACATTCCCCCTGATGACGGATGGGAGGACATGTCTGTATCTTCTCCTCCTTGTGCGGCGCTCCTTCCCGGCTCGACACCCTCGTTTCCTCCTCTTCAACTCGCGTGGGATGTCAGGTTTGTCACCGGCCAGTAGCCCGCTGTTAGCCCACCATGCTAACAGCTGGTCGTTACTGTAAACAATGGGGTTGCGTGTGCTATCGGGATCCCCGTTCACAGGATACATAAAAAGATAAAAGCAAATAAAGGAGATGAGCAGAAATGAAGCTGTCCAACCCCCCCGTAACCACGAAAAACAAAATGGGAAGAAGAAATAAATAAAGTAGAAGGACGAAAAGAAACTCAAACAGGGATATGCGCTGCTGGAGAGGCAGCCCCTCAGGGGGCGCCATCTTTGAAGAAAAAAAAAAAGAGCATAGAGCAACACATACAGTACTACATGTATATTTCATGTTTGTTTACTGTATTATATATATATGTAGGTATATGTATATATATTCATGTATAGTATTAAGTAATGTTAATTACCACAAACATTTACTTCTACGTGCATGTATATCATTCATTGTGGCCTTATAAATATTATATATACTCATACACATGTACATATACCTGTACCTGTAAAGGGGGGGGGGTGACTACTTCGCGGATTTTCCTCTTTCGCGGGGGGTTCTGGTCCCCATTAACCGCCATAAGTGAGGGATCACTGTAGTTGATGCCAATTGAAATGCATTATCTACCTTTTTAAATAATCAAAAGTGGTATTTTCTGAGTGTATTTTATAATTAATGTTGATGTTGTGCTTGTACTGTTTTGGACTGTATTAAAACAAAGAAACTAATCAGAAGTTGTAGTTTTTAAGTAATATGTACCATGATTTTACCGTCCGGCACATTTGGGAATAGATTTTCCTCAATGTGCCGCCTGACCTAAAATTATCTAGAGGGCCCTGTTTTGAGATGTTCATTGTGTAGTTGTGACCATGAGCCAGCATCACTAGGAAATGCACCAGTAATTCTGAATTATTTGCATTATATGAGCCAAATAAAACAGAGTCAGTAAAATACATATTTAAACTAAAATAATAATATATATTATTTTAGTTCATATATAATAATAAGGTTATCTTATCTTGTTGTATAATCTAGAAATGACAAAAACATTTTATATCCTGCTGTGTTTACAATCCAGCTGGCCGTTGCCCATTTTTCCACCTCATTGTCAAGGAGTGTGAAGATGTCTGTCAAGGACATCTGTGGCTCCACACGTCATAGCTCCTCCCTGGAATATACGTGGTCACAGACCTTGCCTCTCGATGTGGTTTTTCGGAATTAGGCATCTTGCAATTAAGAGAATTGTACATGCGGCCCATGGCCAAATTTTCCTCCATTGTTGGCTGACCTTTCACTTCACACCATGTCGACGACACAGCCATACATCTGCACACAACCAACTACTCGTGTGCCCATTTGTTTAGTTTTTTATCCTAGGGCACTTGCCTTGGACTTCACCCTGCTAATACTACTGCATATTTCCGCTCTGAAGCCTCCTTTATGTTCAAATTCAATACATAATCAACTGATGGTGTCAGTGAGGGTGACATTGTCTCTACAAGTATCATTGGCTGGCCTTGAGAGCACTTACACTAAATGGCTCTTTACCAAATGGCCCTTCAGTGTAAGCCAGTTCAATTGCACTGTCGAAAGGAAAATTACCTGCCAGGGGCCCCCCCAAAGGGGAACTCTTCACTGATAAAGGACAACGGGAATCATTTAGGCTAACGTCTCCATATTAAAAGGAGCTCATTTAACAAGGACGACAAATCAAGGTTAAAATTGCTGTATCTGCATGAACAAGAAGTTGGTGCTGTAGATTTATCTTGAATAGGAGACACATGGGAAGGGAGGGGGTGGGAGGAGAGAGAGAGAGAGAGAGAGAGAGAGAGTGCCTGCATACAGTTGCAACGGATTGCCTGCTGAATAAGGTGCATTTGTGCTGCTTGTTGGGGGGCTCATAAGAAAAAGTGAGGGTGAGAGGGTTGAGCTGGGGGCCCTCTCATCTTCACACCCTCTTTGTCTCCAGGCCATCTGCTGGCTTTTGGTAATTGCTCTCTGTGTGTGTGTGTGTGTGTGTGTGTGTGTGTGTGTGTGTGTGTGTGTGTGTGTGTGTGTGTGTGTGCGTATGTTTAGAACTGGATAATTGCAAAGCACATTCCATCACCTCGAAACCATTCCCACTACAGGACCAGGTGAGCGAAGCCAGCCCACAGGAAGCAGCAGACACTGTGTCGCAGCAAGTCACACTGGGAGAAAATTTACAGCTTTGGTGCACCTGCACCATTGGCAACGCTGCATAATTATGACCCCGTGATAAAACTGTCACTTTGGACCCCACCACTTAAATGCCCAAAATTTCAAATATCTTCTTGGGCATTTGTCAAAACTTCTCTACCACTTACTGCACAACTACTTGACACAGATGACTGAAAATGTATGAGTCACTCTGGTTCATTTTTTTTTGGGCGGGGGTGTTTTTTTGTTTGGTGGTGGATATGTTGAAAGTTATTCATGCTGAAACAAAAAGCAAGAACAAAGCAAAATTGAAGGTGACATTACCTCTCACCAGCAGTACCACAACAGAATCCGCTGTAGCGTATATTTGCTTTTTTTTAGCTTTTATAGTGGAATACTTATAATTCTTTGAAAATGTATAAATGTTATGGATTTCTTTAATAACACTACCCTCTTAAAATGAATTGACTGACTACACCTGACGCATGGCTCTCAGACCGCTAAATTCATCTGAAAAGAAGAGTGACAGTAGAGGGAAGAAAACAGTTAAATCACCACAGAGCTCAAAGGAGCTCGTAGCACGCATGAAGCTGGTCAGACTGGGTTAGCCGGATGTCACTCCTCTGACATGTACAGTTAAAACTGGTGCTACTGGAACATTTGTGAAGAAACACACCTACTTCAGTCTCTACGTGTGCTTTAAGTCTTGACATTTTGCCTCTTTATTCAAAAGCCGTGCATTCAACGCTGTCTGTATAAAACACGACATCTTACTTTCGCAGGTGGAGTCCGAACATTTTGCACTTGTTTTGACCTGTGCACATGATGGGTCTGTCAAAGGCTTATCGTCTCTCATTGTCAGTTTTTATCATCTCGACAATTTATGACGATGTGGATTGATTGACTGAATGTTTGTGAAGACAGACAGATCACATTCTGTATTCATGACACATTCTTATTCGTTATTACACAGTTGGAGTCTGTCAAGTCAACTTCTTCTTGCAGTCTTACCTGCAGTAGCTGATCTTCATAAATAAAAAAAACACTAAAGTTAATTACTGGCCGATTGTTCTAACTTGCAGTCACATGCAACAGCTCTCAAGATAATCATTAATAATCAATCAAATGAAGAGAATATCATTCCATAACACAATCTCAGTCATTACTTTTTACCCAAAATCTTTTCACAAGTGAGACTCTCATTGAGTCATTTTCTCTTTACAAGTTGTTGCAGTTCCAAAGTATGAGTTTTGAATTTGAAAGGATCTTGTCTGCAAGGTGACCACAATGTTTCCACCATTGCTGAAGACCCACTCAACTGGATGTGATGCAACTGTGTTCTTATTGTAACCGTGAAAAGTAGTTTTTATTCACTAATTTTTAAAAAACATATTAAAATGTTTTTAACTTCATTTAGCACACCGTTTGTAAACCATTGGAGCCGGGGCATTTCCGGTTGGCAGGAAAGTGATTGACTACTACTTACCTCAACAGAAGCAATGACCAAAACTTGTGTTTGAGGCTCTGCAGCAAAATATACCACAAAACATTTAGGTTAGTTTATAATTCCTTGAAAAAATCAAATGAATCCAATAGAACCTGGATTGAAGAATGGAACACCATCCCACAGTGGTGAGACCAGGCTGGTGATCAACATGCAAAGGAGGCGCCAGGCTGTTGTGGCTGTACATGGTCCTTCCACACCCTACTGAGGCTCCTGTGTGTAAAACTAATCAATTCTCAAATTGCCAATAGGTCTTGTTTCTTCAAAGTTCAATCAGCAATCTATGACACCAAACAAAAGTATCAATGGCAACAGCAAATAACTTGACAGAAGATTTGGCAAATTTGACATGGGTGCAACCAACTATACTTGGCTATCCCACAAATGCATATTCCTTTCAAATGAAAGGGAAAATTTAAAAGGGAAATAAACAGGCTTTCCAACAACACAATATTTATTGACAATAGGCACTGTTACAACGGGGGGAAAAAAACTAACAAACACAAATTTGCTTTTTGTGTCACGTTAAATGAAATCACTTTTATTTCTATGGGGTTAACACAAAACTTGTCCATTATAATAAATAAGACGATCGTAATATTTTTAAAAAACGGATGGACGCTTTATTGCTGTCCCACAGAGTTGCTGCCAAGTATTTGGGGCCCTGTGGGGAAAAAAGTATCATTCAGGCCCTTGAGTCTTTGTCAATCTTGGGCCCTTAAAATCATCGTCACTTTGCTTGGTGACTAATCAATTTTCTGTCATTCAGACAGGACGGGGTCATCTGCATGGACTTATAACATGGACTGTCAGTT